AACCCCACAAAACATTGAATATCTTGTTCTCATACTGTCTGCAATGAAATAGTCAGATTATATTTGGAAATAACTGCATTTTGTGTTTATGTGCGTTTTCCACACCGTATGAACTTTTTCCGAGTTGGGGTTGTAAGAAGTGGAGAGTTACGGTCTGGCTGAGTCCGTGAGTTGCCTTGAGTTCAGTTGAGGAAGTCTGTTTAATGTTTGAGGGGAAACGGAAGCCGGGGCCCCCAGAACTGAGCCCAACTGAAAGGAAGTGCTGTAGAGGCCTCTGAGGCCTTTCTGAGAAAAGGCTGCCTAAGCTTGGCGAAGTCAAAGCGGTGTAGAGCTTGTGCCGTCGAAGGCCACAAGTATTGTATTTAATGGCTATGCTATCTAGTGACAGGTGTTATTGCTTGAAGTTTATGGTAAGCTCATCCATCATTAGCGTAAATTAGCTTGACTGAAAACTGCGGATTCAGCTTGAAAAACAGCCGTTCCTGTAAAATCATAAAACATCTGTCCATGTCCTCTCCAGAAAATGAAAGCTGATTGTCATGTTCTTGCACTTTTTCAGTGTTTGTGTGCATAAAACTTGAAACATAAATTTAGATTTGCTTATTTGTGCATTCCCCATGTGAATATGGGCAATCATTTGATGGGGATGTGCAGACGTTCTGAACCGACCCCTTCTCATAATGATGTTGGCCAGAGGTTTCCAAACTCCGCCCTGGGGCCTCTCTGTGTATGCTGGTTTTTGTTCCAAGCATCACTACAGTCATAGGATTTCAGTAAGCTGATAATTTGTGCTAATAAGGTGCATTTTGTGTTTAAAGAAGTTACCTGCTGTCCTAAGCCAAATTTTAATAGAAATATCCACTTGTGTCAAGAAAACCCTTGAACATATTTTTTCCCCAATGTAGGAAGCAAGTTCAGGCATCACAATGTTTAGACTAGTCAAATTAGTCACTGAGAAAATCAGTAAGCTCCAAATCAGGTTGCTGAACACGTGTTCAGAGTTCTCAAGATAAATTGCTTTCACTTAATCACAAAAATGTAACACAAAACAGGTTTGAGTCTCATCAGCTTGTCGGATAAATCGTTTGTTTTTTAAGCCATGGGTCCACAGTTTCACAAATCAGAATATGTCTTAGGGGGGATAAATTACTGCTTTATAATAATTTCATAATTGGTAAGGTTTAACAGCTTGTTAAAATCCCACAGTGGCAATCGTGGTCGGAACAAAAACCAGAATACGCAGGGAGGCCCCGGGGCCAAGTTTGGGAGCCACTGATGCAGGCCGTCTTTGAAAAGCAGCTGTGGGTGCCAGATAAGGACGTGTGCTGACGCAGATTGACACATCGAGAGTCGTACAGACTGCTTTCAGGACTCGTTCGCCCCGAGTGTTATTCCAGTTGATTGCCAAAAATGGGGTGTTTGGGCAGCTTTTCATATTTCCCACCCGAGACAAAATGTTCAGTCTGACTCGCAAACCGGTTCCATTGAGCAGAGAGCGATGTGGGCGTATCGGCTGCAGCACGCAGTCTTTCAACACTTTTATCTGACGTGCCCCGAAGCGGTCCTCCGAGCTAAAAATTTTTCACCTTTACATTGTGTGTGTACGTTCTCTTTTCAGATCTAAACAAAAACCCAGTGGAAGGTTTCTCTGCCGGTTTAATGGATGACGATGACCTTTACCGATGGGAAGTTCTAATTATCGGGCCCCCAGACACACTTTAGTAAGTATGGCATTTTCTTTTTTGCTGATGGCAAAAAGTCCATCACATTTTACCTGTGGTGGCACATGATTCACATGGAATAAATGTTTTTTTTCTCTCCCCCCTCTACAAGAAGTTTCTAGAAGCCATTATGATGAAAATGCTACTCCGTTGCTTAACCCTTAAAGTGCTTAATTTTTACTCACCCTGTCCCTCCAAACGCTAATCATTCATTATTTAGTTGACAAATGACCTTCAGAGGGACTCACAGGTACCTGTGAACACTTCTGAAGGTCACTGGCAACTGAAAATTGAAAAAAAATGGTTCACCTTCTGAAGGCTGTAATCTGAAATTTTGCTTTGTATATGTTGCACTTTTTGTGACTATGGCAATGATTAGCACTTTAAGGGTTAAAAACTGTTCTATATCTGTCATTTTCTGTCATTTATTAGTTGGGGCTTAGTAATAACATGGCATTTTAGAGTTGAAAAAGATAATTAATTCTATGTAATGCAGCTCTTGCTTTTGTAATGGAGAGCTCATTTTTTTTTCCTGCCGTTGGTCATCTTTCACAGTGAGGGAGGAGTGTTTAAAGCACATCTCACTTTCCCGAAAGATTATCCTCTCCGACCCCCGAAAATGAAATTCGTCACTGAAATTTGGCACCCAAATGGTAAGTTTACAACTTCACCTCTAACAGCGTTTGCATTTCTCCTTCGGTGCGCAATCGCAGTCATGAACACCCATTTACATTTTTGTTGTTCCAGTTGACAAGAGCGGTGATGTATGCATTTCAATTTTGCACGAGCCCGGGGAGGATAAGTACGGCTACGAGAAGCCTGAGGAACGCTGGCTCCCAATCCACACCGTGGAAACCATCATGATTAGTGTCATTTCAATGTTAGCCGACCCTAATGGGGACTCTCCAGCTAACGTGGACGCAGCAGTAAGTGTCTTTGCATTTTATACCTTAGCTGAAGTGTTGAACCCTGTAATATTGTGAGCAGGTTGACCATACATGTGTCATATTTGTATTTATTTTTGCATATGGCCCAAACCAGGGCTGCCTACCTTGTATCTAGAGATATACCGTCTTGATGGATATCAACCCTAGTGAAGTACCCCTGTTCCAGTTCAGGAGATCTCGTTGAGTTGTTTGTTGGTAAAATCGAGTGTCCAAAATTAGCAATAAGATAAAATAAGTAGGCATCAGAAAGAAAGAAATTATTAATATTTACAGCTTTGCAGAAGGCTCAGTGAGTCATGGAGAATTTTAACGAGCACATATGATACTTTAACAGACAGCCTTGCCTGATGTTGCATAAAAAAAGTTTTTTTTTTTTAGTGTTCATAATTTGCTTTTAAGGTTAAAGTTTTCCAGCATTTGTACTTTGTGGTGTAAAAGCAATTTTTTTTTTTAATTCCCTTTTTTTTTTTTTAACAGGATCAGGTTGTGTTTTGATCTCATCCATCTTCAAATCAACTAGTAACTTCTGCGTGCTTGATGGTTTTTTATTATTTATTCCTGCACGAATTACACTTTAAGAAATAGTACTGTACGGTTATTGGAAGCAAACAACAGAAAATGCACATGATGCGGAGTGCAGGAAAAAGTTTGTAACAGGTGATGATGCATAACATGGCCTATGATACCTTATATATGCAACAGAAAATGGTCTGTCTATGTAGGGTTATAATTCCTTGATTACAGCAAAAATGTTCAATTTTACTCTTGTTTTTTTGTGAACCAGAAAGAATGGAGGGAAGACAGACATGGAGAATTCAAGAGGAAAGTGGCTCGCTGTGTAAGAAAGAGCCAGGAGTGACGTCAGTCCAGCAGCTTGTAGCTCCACTTCACTTTTCAGGGTGAGTGATGTCCGACTGCTGCGGGTTGCAGTCAGACTCTCACAGTATTTTTAAGCCCAATATATGCTGCATGTGTTTCTGAATCTCCTGAGATGATGAATCAGAAGTGTACTTAGTATTTATCCTGGGATTTTCTTCTGGGTAATCTGTGCCGAGGCAAAATTTTGAAGTGAACCCGGAGTCCAAGCATGAAAATCCTGCTCTGACTAGGATGGGCTGCTCACCTTTTCGTAAAATTTCACATTTTTCTAAATGTTGTGACTTCTTTGTTTCACACTGGATGAGGGGAGTCTTTGGGCGTGTCACCTTGAGGACCAATCAGGCGGCTGCTCAGGGAAGGGTAGCAGGTGCTCTAGGTCGAATGGCTGGCTGAGTTTTAATTATCTGCCTGCAGTTCTGTGTGCCATTTGGACAGGTGATGCTACATTATAGATAACGGGCAATGTAATTTGACCGCTGGCCTTTGATGGTGTGGATTTTTGCTCCCTAGGTTATGTGAGTTCTTTCCTGGATCAGAACATATCAGTAGTGAATTTAATAAATGTAGATACTGGATTGTGGGTGTAGTCTTGACCTGAATGGCCTGGTAAAATGCATCATGCTTTTTAGGATGTATATTGACATGTCTTTCAAATATAATGGCTTTAAGTCTTCTCTCTTTCCTTTGAACAGCTTAGCTCAGTAGTGTTGTCGGTGTGTATAGAGTTGCCCAGTGTGCACACCCACGCACTGACAATAGACTGTATTTTGATTAATATCTTTCCTTATGTTCTGTGGCTCCCAAGATATATCATCCATTTTTATAAGCTAATAACCGTAGTCTGTCTAGAACTGCAGTGACTGTGTGTAATTACTGGCGAGGAGAAGGAGTTTTCGCTCCTCTGCCGGGAACCTTGGATGAGTGAATTTGCTTAAAGTTGATAAAAGCTGTTAAGATATTGTGGTGATTTTTGGGCTCAAAGGTATTCTGCTGTGAAGGCATCGTGGATTTGGGTGAGGGGTGGGGGAGGTGCTTTTGTGCACAGCTCATTCTTTTTTTGGTAAATTAATGGGGTTGTGAAAATTCTTGGGAATTGCTAATTTATTACCTGAAACGGGGAGAAGGGAGCCTCTTGGCGTTTTTTTTATTAACCTCGCTGCTCAGTCCTGGCGGCTGTAGCTTAGCTTAGCCACTCTTTGCCAGGCTTTTCTGCTCAGAGGCATCAATGCAGGGATGCAGCATTAGCATTTACATGCAGTTACCAGATCCACATGGACTTAAAGGGAAATGAGGTCCGTTTCATATCCCAGTGGTACAGCAACATCATGCTCTATAAGACATTCCTCTGTCATGCTTATATTGTGTCCCACAGTCCTGCATATATTGTGTCCTATTATCCTGCATATATTGTCCCACCATCCATACAGTTTTGACCTTGTAATGCTAAACGGGAGGGACAGTGGCGCAGTGCTTTGTGCTGTTGTCTCTTACGAAGGAGGTTCTGGGTGCGAGTCCCAGCAGCCCAGGACCTCTTCGAATGGTGGTTGCATGTTCTGTCCATGTTTGCATGGGTTTCCTTCAGGTTGTCCACTTTTTTCCTCACCCCAAAAGACCTTAAAACACTCGTGCCGCTGCTCCTGACCAAGGCGCTTGGTTGAGACCTGGAGTCGGTCTGGGGCGTTACACTGCGGCTGCCCACTGAGTGCTCCTGTGCTTGAAGGTTGCCATGTCCGGCATTGTCACCCCAGGTCATGAAATTGTCGCCATCAATATCATCTGGGTATGGGTTTGGAGACGTCTAGATTTCTTTAATGTGCCTTCAATGGCTGATTGTGCCCTCTGATTTTGAAATTTATGAAGTGAGCAGAGTGGCATGAGAGGTGTAATTGGTTGCCGTCCCGTTTCCGTATGGCCCTGCTCGGCTCTATGCAGTGGAACATTGCAGAAGGTGTGCTTGTGAATCTTTTTCTTGTCACTGCTGTTACTGTCTGATATAGTGAGAACCATTATTCATTGAAAATCAACACATTTTTTGCTGTTTGGGTTATGCTGGCTGAGTCACCAGATCTGAATCCCATCGAACATGCACTTTACGTGCTGAAGAGGAAACTGAAGGCAAGAAATTCTTTAAACAAGCAGGGACTGAAGGCGGCTGCATCACAGCCCTGACAGAGCATTACCAGGGAAGATGCTTTGCATCTGGTGGTGTCTGTGCATCACAGACTTTAACCCTGGACCTGCCTCTAGGCTAATGCTTATCGAGGATTGGCAAGGAAATTGCCACGGGTGAATGACGTATCGGCGACTGGCACACAGGGAAACGAGTGTAGGTCCTCTATATATCGGCGACTGGCAGGACGAGCGTTAAGCAGTCATTGGATACAATGGATGTCTCACCCAGTGTTAAAAATGTTAACTGAATTTTACATTTTTAAACGGTTCAGTTTTTTTGGATGCTCTTGATAATGCGGGGGGGACAATGTACCAAATGATCTGATGCGCATGAAAGCACCCTCAAATTTATGCTGACGCTCTGCACTTAAACCCCATTGTCATATCTTTTTAAAGTCAGCGCTTCACTGTAAACCCTGGTGTGTGTGCTACACTCAATTGTTTTGGGGAAAATGATTACCTCAAAAAATTGTGTATGCCTAGTTGCCAACTTTATCTTGTGTTCACAGCACTTAAAAACATGTAAAAATTAACTTCACATTAGTTTCATTAAGTTCCTTTCTCACAATGCAGTTGAGTTGGCCTACAAACTTTTTTTGAGGTAATCGGTTTCCACAAAACATTCGAGTTCACCCCATCAGGGTTTATTGTTGGGTACCGTGCCAAATTACAAAACGTGTCCCTGTCAAAGAATTGTGCTCACTGCGTAATGCTGGGCATGAAAGTAGCCCGTTTGTTAACGCTGCAAAACCCTGTCCTCTCGCTCGCAGGTCTCCAGTCGAGAAACATTGGTACACGTCCCCGCACTTCACACAGCTGTCGCCGGTTTCATCCTCATCGAACAGCTGCAGGCACCGGAGGGATGAACGGGCTGCGGTGGATCAAAGCTTCATGCCAGTCAAGGACGCTGATAGAGCAAGTGCCAACCCTTAAAAAGAAAACAAAAAAAAAAAACAAAAAAAAACAAAGACAAAAAAAAAAACTGAAGTCTGATGAACTGCTTATACTTTCAGGAAGAATTGTAAAGACCTGTACATAGCACAAACATTAAACTGGATAATATATAAACTGTTCATATCCATCCGCAAACACACATTACCAAAAAAAAGGAGCGCTCCTGTAGTCGGATTATGAAATTTGTGATTTCTTGACCACAACCCCCCAACCCCCCCCCCTCCCCCTTTGTGCTTTTCCCGGCTCCAGAGAAAGCACGAGATTGAGAAAAGGTGGGTCTGGTATTACTTCAGCATCCGGCAATTTTGCAAAACTAATTGGTTATGAAATAACACGAGGTATACATGTATGTTATATTTTAAATGCAGTTTCATTTGAGAGGTGTTTTTCGAGGTCACGGATATCAGTGTGCCGTTGTGGTGTTTGGATCGCTTCTTACTGTCATCCCCTCAGGAAACGAGTGTGAAACCGTGACGAGCAGATATTTTAAGATGTTTTTGGTTCCTTAGCACTAGGTGGTGATGCTTTGTGTAGCTTTCCTGCTTACCATTGTCAATTATTTTGTTTGTGACTTGGTTTGATTTACATTACAGTTTAGTTTTCAGCAGAGATGGTGAATACATCTGTTTTTTTTTTTTCCTCTCGTTTGGTTGGCAATTTAGTTTTACCATTTTTCAGAAGTGCCTCCTAGTATATTTCAATGGAAGTAATTGCATCCTGCGTTACACAATTTCAGGTCAAAAGGGAAAAAAAATGAAATGCAAAATGGATCGATCGCCAGGCACTCATGATGTGCCTCATTCCCCCTTTTTTTTTTTCTTTTTTTTTTTTTACGTGTCCACTGATGATGACAATGTCGCATATTACATTCATCACGATTTGGTGTAGCAATAACTTTTACTTTAGCAGATGATCCACCCTTCGAAGTCTCTCTTCTGTGCCGAGGCGAGAATTAGACCACCTGAACGGAAAGCCTTGCTCGCTCTCACTAACTGAAGCAGTTTCGAAAAGCTTATGTTGTGGGGTTTTTTAGTTCGGGTGCATTTAGCATGCTTTACTTGTAGTTTTTTCCATGTCTTGTGTATTTTGTAACTGACAGAGTGTTTGTTGGCGTGAGTGTTTGTGCGTGCGGCGCGGCTGTGCATACGTGGTTGCAAATGTGGATTGAAATAAATTTCCCTCCTTTTGTTTTCTCTGATTTTTTTGGGCTTGATTTGACTACTGCAGTTTTCTTGCCTTAAGAAAGAAGACATAACTGGTGTATATTTTTCATGTAATGGCGAATGTCTTCCTTTTTAGCGAGTTCTTCCAAAATATAATTTTTCAATAATTATTTTGTTTTCTCTTGCATCGATGAGTCCCTTGATATGACGTATTAATCTTGCCTCTTAATTCTGGCACAATTTAAATAAAAATGATCAATTAATTGAAAGCATCGAAAGGCAGGATGTATAGGCGCGGGGATCGCCAATATCGTTCCATGAATAACAAAAGGTCGCAAGTGACATTCCTGATGAAACCTGTTTTTCTGAACCACGAGTGGTGCAGAAAAACAGGTTTCATCAGGAATGTCACTTGCGACCTTTTGTTATTCATGGAACGATATCTTTAATCCTTATTTCTAATTCCCTCATTCTAGGGGTGTTGGAGGTTATGGCGTTATTAAGCTAATGTGGTCTTGGTTATGTTTTTCCTAGAACGCTGGTTGCCTCTGAGCCCTGAATTCTGGCTTGAATTTGGCCTTCCTCCTTAAAAAGTAGTCTGGCACCACATTGCACACTGCCTGCGGTATCAGCGGGTGCAGTGAGAAGGAATCAGAGTGAACTCTGACTGTGTTCGCTTCTGTGCATTGGAAAGATTTTGGACTTCAATTATAGAGCTGGAGGTGGCGAACAGTCATGTCTGGTTGAGAAATTGGCAAAAGGCTTTTTACTGGGGGGGGGGCTTGCAGCTCCAATTTTTTTTTTTTTTTTTTTAACATGTTCAGACTAAATGTGAATCTTGAATTATGATGGTATTGCTGCTCAGTATTTTATTGTCTCACTTTCATTCAGAGTGTTCTGTGTCTGTGTATTGTGTGTTGTGATACGTGGTCGCGGCTATATTTCCAAGCTAGTGGTCTTGAGCAGTATGTGCGCTTTATGCTGGGCTGCTGAGTGCCGTCGGGATTTTAATGGGTTTGTTTGCACCAGTCTGCTGAAGCCTCGTCCCATTTCATTTATTTATTTATTTTTATTTTTGAGCTGCTTGCTGCAGTCTTTCTGGGTGCTGCAATATGATGTCTTCTGAATGCCTGAAGGCAAGAAAGCGGAGAGCTGTGAAGAGCTGCTGAAGTGCTGTAGTGATCTCCACACCAGGGATGGAAATTCCCCCACAGCCCATCTCTCTGCTGACATCAAAGACTGATACAGGTGGACAGTCCGCATGAAGCGCTTCATGGCCTCTGGAACGAGAGATACCGCAGTACAAAGGTTTGCTGCAGCTATCAGAAGCATTTTATGTTGTGGAATGGATGCTGATCGGCCCAATTTAATTTCATTTTGAAAAGCTTCAAGATGTCAAATTCTTGTTGAGTATATCATCTTCTGATACTCCGTATAGCCAAAAGTGTGCGGACACTTCACTGAAAACTCATTGAAATACATAGAAAAGGGGCATTTTTAAATTCTAAATATGGCATTTTATTTGAATCTGGAATGATTAGGACAGACTAAGCATTCATTTCAATTCTGCTGCAGTTTGGGAATCGTTGCCCTTTTTTTGTTATTGCCTCCCGCCCTTACAATTGTAATTAGTTTTAATGGAGGCATCCGCAATGGAGAGGGTGAAGGGGTATAGTAAGTGCCATAGAATCCTTGTACAATGGGGTTGAATTTCAATACCCTCATGTCGAAGCTGGATGTCTTTTTGGTTAAGTGTGATGGGGAGATGAAGCTTTGAAGCCCTCCAACAAATTGGTTCATTAAAAGATTAATTTCTCAAAACTTCTGGTGCTTGCAAGATCAAGCTGGTCATTGAATATAGAAAAAGTGAGTGTATTAAAAAATTTCTACTGTGAATTTTGTATTAAACAGCCCATTTACAGGGATAAGGTGGTAATTGGTCTGTTTCTATGCTTCTTTGCTTATGACTTTTGTCCCAACTGTAGTTGTTAATCAGTCCTTTGCTCAAATTTTACCTAGTTGGAATAATGGAGAAGGTGTGTTGGTGTGGGAAAACTGGTATGTGACTGCGTTAGTGGAAGAGGGCATAATGAGCTTGTGTAACTTTGCATAGGGCAGCAAATGTGCTTATGTAATGCTGAAGGTAATGTTGTGGAAAGACTGTTGTTTTTCAACTTTCTTAGGGCTCAGGTGATCCATCTATCCATCCTTTTATAATGTCCACATGCATGGTACA